GATTGGCCAGTTGTACATGTGCTGGGGGTTTAGTTCTCCCTAAAGTGAAATGGTGGGTTTTTAATTGGTGGGTTTTTGTTTTGATTAAAAACCCACTGTTTCAATTTAGAGACTTCTGTCACTGTGATGGAACAATGACAGCCCCCGTCAACTCATGCCCCCACCCTGCCACCATTGGCAGGCTCCGCCGAAAGAAAAAAAAAGTGGTGAGGGACCTGATCCTTTTTTTCCCCCCAGAGCCTGCCCACGTCTCCTACAGCCAGGAGGCAAGCTGCTGGTGGGCTCTGAGCTGCGGGTGGCCCAGGTCCTTCCCTCTGTGGCAGTGGCACCCCCACCCCAGGTGGCACCCACCCACTAGCACCCCACCCAGCCAGTCCCAGGAGGCATCACCACCGTGGAGGGAAGCACCAGGCCCCCCACAGCTCAGGGACTGTGCAACCCAGAGGCAGTTCACATGGGCAAGCTCCACTGAGGAAAAAAAGAAAAAAGTGGCTAGGGGCCTGATCTTTTTTTTTTCCCCTCTCCCAGAGAATTGCCTGTGTCTCCCACAGCCAAGGAGTGAGTGGCTTGGCCCGTGCACCATCCCTGCCACTATCTCCAGATACATTGCTGTAATGTGTTATGTAGCAAACTAAAATACATCAGATGTCTTTTACTTTGCTCTGTAAAAAAAGTTAGTTAAATTGAAATATGCCACCACAGGTGTACACAGTTACAGAATTTAATTGCAATAAGCCATTGAATATGTACACCGTGACACAATTAGATTGCTAAAAAGGCAATTAAACTGCTAAAAAGGGCAATTTCTTCACATTTACAAGGACCCTTCATCACGTGTACAAGGGCCCATTGTGATGATAAAAGGGCTCTTGAGTCTGTCAGAGGGAGTATACCACACTACGGACCCCTTGCTGCAGAACTTGAACATGCATTTTTTCTTAAGCCTGAAGTAAGACTGCTGTATAGAAACAACTGAGCCTCACTAACATATATGTGAAGAAACTTTATACTGAAGTTTACAAGAGAATTTAATGAAATGTTGAAACAGGATGTTTACAGCTTAAGAGGTAGAGATGATGGTAAAATATATGGTACTGTTTCCATTTCCTTACTGGATCACTTTTATGAGCATTCAGCATAGTGTAAATGCTCAATATTAGTCACATATGCAATGTAAAATTTATGTTGTAGAGTTAGTTGAGTTAGCAACATCAGTTAACACACAAACAATTATATTTTCTGTTTTAATAATTTGTTTGCATTTTAAATCTCCATATGGAATTGTAAATTGTGACTTGCATGCGAAAACATAGACACTTAGGAAAATTATGACTAACTTCAAATAATAAATACATATGAGAATTGCACAAACTGCTCCCAGGAAATAAACAACAGAAAAAAGCCAAAATTCATTAGTTAAATTACTCAGAATATTTTGATCAGCATTGCTGTAGATAAGAGTTTAATGAAACAAAGAACAATTTGGAAAAGCAACTGATTAAAGACAATTCAAGGAGGAAAATGTTTTATTGTAGAAAGAAAATAGATAGCTAAGCCTGGTATGGGATTTGACTTACTGCAATGTAAACTAGGCTGTGAACTCCAAGTTGCTGCATGGTAACTGCCCACATGTGGGCCCTTAATCCAGAGGAAATTTGAAGAAGCTTAGGCTGCAAACAGATATCACCTTTGTGCCCCCATAAGTTTTGTTCTAGTGGCTCAAAGTGAAAGCAAAAATATGCCCATGCCCTCTGTTATGCCACAGATGCCCAAATGTGCTATTATGTGGCAGATGTCTGTTTTAAAGCAGGAAAGTGCAGGTAGCCTGCAGTTGCCTGTGCTCGCCGGGTGCCTTAAGCAGGTGGTCCCAGGAATTCAGGGGCCCGATCCTGAACACCCTGGGAATCCTTCTGCATGCAGAATAGGGCCCCTGAAGCCCTGGGAGCACCTGCCAGGATTTCCCCATTTTCAGAGGCACACCCAAGATTGGATTCTCTTGAGCACACCTCTGCAAGTGGAGGTACCTGGAGTTTCCCCGCTTGCAGTGTGTGAGCCACTCAGGTAGCCACACTGGAGAGATGTTGCTGGACATGTTGGGTCAGATGTACTGCTACACTCCGCCCCCTTTTACTCTAGCTAAGGAGCGTTGACTGAAGATCCACAGATCAGGACCCTGGCCTCCCTGGGCAGCTGGCCTGAGGCTTGCCCCTGGATTACGGGCTTCTCCCCAGGCCCTGCTCCCTGCTCAGAGATCATAACTGGTAACGCAAACCAATAATAATAATAAATGAAAAAGGTTGCACTTATTGTCATGCTGGCTATTTGTGGTCTCCACTGTCTGTTCCCTTTGTTGTAGTTCTGGTGCCCCTGTCAGCCCTGATCTGGGCACAGGTTGGCACCAGGGCTTCTGCCAGGCAAGGAAAAACTCACCCAGGCATCACACCATTTGAGCATCCCTGGCAGCAGCTGCTTCTCTTCACCCCAGAAGCCCCCCTTTCTAGTCGTTCCAGGCTGCTCTTAACTCCCCCCTCTTGCAGGGGTGGGCCTTCCCCAGCTGGGGCTGCTCATCATGGCTGCATCCACCATGCAAGGTTCTGGCTGGTCTGTGCAGCTGCAGTGCAGCTGTGTCTGTCTTTGTGGGGGGAGCGTGGGGTTCCGGGCTGGAGGCAGTTGGGACATGCTCCTCCTTGTAGTAATCGGGCTAGGTCTTGTTACACGGTGGCATTTCCCCAGTGTTGATCCATAGGATCAGGCCCCTGAAGCCCAGGAGTAGCAGGGGCTGAACCCTGTGGGACTATGGGTGATGTCTGTTTTGCCTAGCGATGTTTCAGTTGTGTTGGGTTCATTTGGCAACATTTAGCAAACTCTGTTTATATCCTCTGCAGTGAAAGTGTGGTAAGCTACCTTGCATTTAGCAAAAGGATAGGGGTTAAAACATTCACAAGGGCAGTTACTGCAAAGTAGCTGACACACGTAAGTTCACACCCTACTTTACCTCACACTAACTTGCTCTTATCCCCTGTGTTTCTCAGTTCTTTTCAGGTTGGCAAACCCATATTTGAAATCAGATTTTTTACAACCTTCTTATGCTTACTATAAAAGTAAGGGTAAAATAAAGGTGTTAATAATAAACTATATAGTGTATTTGAGTGAGGATCAGTGAGCACATCTACATGTGCTATTAATGCACACCATTAACTCTGGCACGTATTGCTGGAGTTTATTGCCCCTGGGACCACAGCATGTTGAGCCGGGTTGGAGCAGCCCTGCCTGGCAGAAGGTCCAGGGGGTCAGCCTGCCAGCCCAGGTCTACTCCAACCTGGCTCAGCGTGCTGCGGTGAGGATAACTGGGGCACAAGTGTGCTCCAGTGCAGAGCTAACCAGCAGGCAGCCCCCACACTGAAGCACCCTCGCGCCCCAGCCAGCCGCATCAACGTCTACGCATGTGTTGCTGCATACTAAAGAACTCTGCCATAGGATAGTATTTGTATCTACAAACACTAACCTGTGGCAGAGTTAATTAGTTTCTCGTGGCCTAATAGCGCTGCATGCGTAGATGCTGAGACATTTACTGCAGACCTAATTAAACAACTCCACAGTAAATGTCTCATGTACACACACTCTATGTGTTTCAAAGGGTTGACAAAAAACGTTTGATTGATAGAGAATACTTGACCTTAAAGACTAGGAGCATTCAGGGAATAGAGGAGCAAGATTATTTGCTCTAGATTGTAATAACATTTTCAGTGCCTTGCAACCCTCCATCCCACTCCCAAATGCTAACTGATTTTCAAGACTCCCTAATGTGGTGGACCCCACCAATTAGGAAAAAACTGACTAAATATTCAGGGCCAGATCCTAGGCTGCTGGAACTTGGGATAGCTCTGTTGGCTTTAGTTTACAAGGCCTTGTTTAGGCTTTGACCCTCACAAGTCATTCATAAATGGTTGGCATACAGTAACTAAGGAAATCCTTGGGAATGTAGTCTGCAGTCACATGGCTGAGGGAATACCACCATTCCCTTAAATCTGCTTCCAGAAAATAATGGCTTCTTTATATAATGACCTGGAGTGAACCCTTCCATTGGTTATTCAGGTAGGACAGAATGATTTCTTTATCTGGGAGGTCATAAACCCATTTTCTTTATACAGCTGGGTGAACAATACACTTTGTTAAATGGTAGCATAATTGTTCATATTTTATGCCCCTCAAGATTTTATTGAAGACAGAATTCAGCTCAATTTTGCACCTTTTTAGGTTCCCTGTTGTCTGTGCAAAGCCTGGGAAAAAGAGAAGTGTCTAAGGTAGCCTTGGAAAAAATTTTACTTCCTTAAAAGCAAGTTACACACCTGACTCATGGCTGGAGAGATTAATTTATCTGCTCAGGATATGTTGCTATAATACCTCTTCTAAAGGCCTAAACCACAAGAGTCCTTTTTTAGAGGAGAAACACTTAGGGGAAAATCCTATTTCACTTTATGCACCCAAATGGCCCCCACCCAGCCACATAACTGTCACTTTTAGCACTTATGCACAATTTACTATCTTATTCCACATTCAGTATAGATGTGCAAGAACTGATACCACTACCACACATGCTCAGTAGGCTGTGCTCTGGCCAGGCAAGTGTGTGGCATTGTATGCACATACTCAGGCAAGCATAGATCCAGGTGTGCAAACTGAAATAGGATTCTGCCCATAGTTCATATTTTCAATATATTTTTGCAACAAATAGATTGAAAATTTGTCAAAAAACATTTTCAAGGGCCCTTTATTTAATTTTCATTCCCAGGACAAAAAAATTCTAGCCTAGAATTAGATGTGAAATGTAAAATATGAGGTATGGTAATTTATTCATGGTGGAACAGAAGTGCAGGTGGGTTGACAACTGGACTTCGAATGGAAAGCAATTTTAACAATGGAAAGAAAGATTGGTACTTCTCTATAGTATGTGGCAACATTGAACCAGACTGACTGTTTGTTTGTATAAGAACACTTACTTCAGTCATATCACCAGCAGGAAGAAGTTCCATATCTGCCTTCAGACTGCATGCATTGATTACATAATTGTACCTGAAGAATGAAATGTTAGTGTTTTTAAATTCTCAAAATCAGAACAAAATCTCATGCATTTTGAATGACTGTCTGATCTATGTGAAATAGTGACAGTGGCTATCATTCACTCTTTCAGACCCAGCTCTCTCCCTCATGGTTTCTTTGCATATGTGTTGTAGCTGTATTAGGCTGTCAGCCCTGTGACAAAGCTGCTTCTGAAATTCTTATAATGAAATTCTATATGGGTAGATATACGTGCTGCACTTGGCAGCTTCCAGTGGAGGGTGAGAAAGTCATATCTACAGAGCGTTTAAAAACTGCAGAGAAAACTTCATAGGTATTTAAGGGAATTTAGTATTTCCTATATTTTTTCCATATTTCAATGGGTTGGATTCTTTTAGTATAGTTAATTTCTTCCAATTTTGGACTTAAAAAGTCTCATCCCATGTAAAATGGCCTTTTGTGTGATATGTGCAGCCTATATAAATATAGAAGCATGTACACCCCCTAATCACAATCGCTATGGAGAGGGAATAAGCCATCTGTATTAATTTTCTCGGCAGGGCTATTGGCATGTACACAGCTACACATTACTGTGGGTGGACTAGTACCCAAGCTAGATCATTTAAACCTAGCTTGGATATATCTGTACTGCTTTGCAGACTGCAGTGTAGATATGCAATATATCAATTAGTTGTGTCAGAACTCAGTAACTGCTGCTTTTGATTTCTGGGGATGTTCCTGTTATTTACCTTATGAAAACTGTAACACACTCATTGTCTTTTAATATTAGACACACATACTACTGCATCTGAAATCTGAACACATGCTACATAATAATAGGATTAAAATAATAATAAAATAATCATCACGATGTATGTACAGTACAGGTCCTGAGGAAAAAAAGTACCTAATAATGTCAGTCATGAAAAAAACCAAAAAACAAGAAACAAAAAACCAGCCATCATTTGCAGCCTGATATAAAGTTAATATCACTTTTAAATAATCCAATTGCCTTCAAAGATATAAAAATAATTAAAATAATTGACTAATTAGATTACTCAATTTGCAGTGTTGGAAGTACATGTATATAGAGGGACCTGGAAGCTTTAATTTTAAAGGAAGTTGATGCTGGGATCTTCACATAGGTGTTTTCTGTTTTGTGATTGATCTTGTTGCACTCTTTCTGGTAGCAACTTTTGGTTGGCTGTGGAGGTAATGTTTTGGGAAATAATGTTTGGCATTGATGACTGCAGCAGATTACTGGGTTCTACTGAATGTAGATTGAATCTAGCACTTTCAGTGCCCTTATATTTTGCCACATGTTTGTGTAAATATCACTTTTTACTGGTGCATCTATCATCTAAGAGAAATGGAGCTCATTGGAAAGAAAAAGGAACATACAGTAAAAACACACGTGTACATTATATTTTAATGTTTACCTCTGTTCATTATATTCTGTTCCAAATAATATATTTTGTCTAACGCTTCCATGAAATATCCATGCTTGCTGTGACACATAAGCTAATGTTCCATCAACACCTACTGTCCCATCATTCAAGTGCAACTGAAACAGATTTAAAAAAACTGTTTTATACTGCTTTTCCAAGCAATATTATAACATAAAGTAGGGGCATTTTATCTGAGTTTAATCCTGCAAATATATAAAGTAGGTATTTAGTTTGTGGCTTAAGAAGAACTTGCAGTTCTGTTGGGTATTTACCCAAACAATTCCTCTAGGATGCCCTAGTTATTGCCCTATTTTCAGGAATGGTTGAGAAGCAGAGGCTATCAAAGTGGCACAAAGAGCTTAAGCATCAATTACTATAAAACTAGCTAGAGGTACATCTGGGCACCCTGAGCAGTGGTGGTGTACTGGGCAGTGATGAGGCCGCTGGCAGTGGTAGCAGTGTTGTGTCAGCAGCAACAGTAACGATTTTTTGTGCCCCTCCTTAAGTCAGCACAGGGGCCTGGTGCCTCACTTGTCCCCTCTTTAACTTACTCTACTGGAACTAGCTTTAGTTTCTACTTATGTTGTTTCCCATTCCTCTGTGTAGAATCCCTCTCCTGTAGAAGGTAGGTTGGAGCTGAAGAATAGACATTTCAGAACCTTTCCAAGAGACTGACTTTCCATCAAAAATGTCAATGTATTGAAATCAAAATGTCCCATGGGAGCATGACAATTTTGAAAAAAATGTCACTGGAAACTAGGCAGGTCTCTAACAGAAACCTATTTGGTTTCCTGCCCCATTTTGGCAGCCCATCATCCGTACTGTTAGAAACTGACCACCCCAGATGTCCAATAGGGCAGTGCGAAATTTCGGCAGCCGTTTCTTTTCAGAAGTGTTTCAGGCCATTTCAGCACCCAAAACACCAAATCTGAATCAAAATGGAAGGCTCAGAAACATCTTTGAAATGAAATGAGGCATCCAAAACATTTCGGAAATGTTTTGGAAAATTTCAGAGTTTCAGAGCTGTTCTTCCAGGGAAACAGCTGTACACTGCTGCCCTGCCACACAACCTGGCTCCCTTCCCTGAGGTCCCTTCCAATCCCAGTACCCTGGGGGAGGGATGGAAAAACTGCAAAAAAGGCAGCATTGTTTGAACTGCCCTGCTTTCTGCCTTGGTGTCAGTTACTGAGCTGTGTGTTCCAGTTTTGCCTGTCAGCAGCTAGAGGTGCAGGGCCCCAGAACCCAGACTCCCCCTGCACCTATATCCTTGACAGCTGGCAGGCTTCGTGGCTGCAGCAGGGCCTAGGAGGTCTGCAGTTTTCACCTGCTGCATGCCCCAAGACAGACACAGTCAGTTGCATAAGCACCCATGTCAGGAGTTTTGCCTGTCAGTAGCCAGAGATGCAGGGCTGCAGAACCCAGAAGCCACTGAACCTATCTCCTTGACAGCTGGCAGGCTTCGTGGCCTCATCAGGGGCTAGCGTGCCTGCAGCTTTCACCCTGGTGTGCCTTACACACACACTGTCACCCATGTTACAAGTTTTGCTTGTTCACATCTTGAGGTGCAGTTTCCCCAAAACCCCTGCACCTATCTCCTTGAAACTTGGCAGGCTTTGTGGTCTCAGCAGGGGCTAGCAGGCCTGCAGTTTTGACCTTGCTGTGGCTTAACACATTCACGTGACATGAGTTTTGCTTTCAAGATTTCAGGTGCAGTTTCCCTGAAAACCCTGCACCTATCTCATTGAAACTTGGCAGAAGGGGCTACCATTCCTGTAGATTTAATCCAAATTAGGCCAGAAATGCCAAGTTACAGGCTGTTTCAAGCTTCCCCATTATAGCCTATGGGTGAAATGTCAAAACAGCATTGAAACAGTGAAACTGTTTCGACGAAATGAAACAGAACAGCGGTTTCGAATTGAAATTAAATTCAAAACAAAATGCTGTTCCATTGAAATGTCAAAATGCTGGTCGAAATGGAACGGTGCCATTTCGCACAGCCCTAGCATGCAGGACATTTCCATTTGCTCCACACACTTCTGTTTCCAGCAGACACAGTGCAGGGTCAGACTGTGAAGGTCTGTGGCAAGAGTAAATGCTTCTGAGAACCACAGCCACCTCCTGATCTTTCTGGTGGCAACAACATTTATCTCCAGCCTGTGGCTGCCACTGGGTGAAACTGCCCTGCATGCTTCTGTTCTCACAAGATATGTTGGAGTTGAACTGTGAAAAGCTGCAGAAGAAGCAATGCACCTGCCTGCATCTTTCTATTTTTCAAGATAGCTAACAGAACAGCATAACAGAACAAGTACTGTCAAATATTCAACAAGGTATATATTTCTAATATAAATGGAAAATAAAAGTCACTGTAGAAGTTATTCCAAAGTGATTCACATACCTGTCCTAGAATGGCTGATAATATTGAGCTCTTTCCACTTCCAATATTTCCACAAATACCCAAAACTTTTTCCTACAGAAGAGACATATTTTGAAGATGCTTGAACTATATTTGTAAAATAAGAACCCACGTCACATTGTCTACCATTCTGTGAGCATGGAACAAGTGTTTATACAGCCTGTTATACAGTGGCAACGCACATGGGGTGCACCCCCTGAGAGCGCCAGTGCATCCCCTGATAAGCCATGCACGCTGCTTCAGCAATGGGCAGGGGAGCAGGCGGGAGCACCGGTGCTCCCCCTGCAAGCACCGAGTGATCACTGCAGCTGCTCCCAAAAGTGGCCGCAGCCACTCCCGGAAGCGGCTGCAGTGATTGGCCACAGCGATCAGCCACAGGGGAACTGCCTCTGGGCAGTGTGATCTGCTGCAGAGGGACACCCCCCTTGCATCAAGATCTGCCATGGGGACCCTAACCCCCTGGGCAGTGAGACTGGTTGTGCCCCCGCTGACTAAGGTGGCACCAGTTGCCCATGCTGTTATACACGCTAATTCTTAAGAACAGTCCTATTCTGGAAAAGGCACATAAACATTTAATTGTAAACTTGTACTTATGTCTGTTCCCATAGCATAACTGTAATGCTTATCTGAAACCCAAGAAAATAGAGATAGTGTTAGAAGCAGTTTGATAAAATCTGTACAAAATAGTACAAAATATTGCCACTTGTAATAATACAGTAATGCAAAACTTTTTTAAAGGATGTTTTTATTGTATAGGGTGCTGTAGCCTAGGATTTTAATTAATGTAAGGAATTTACAAAATACACCTCTACTTTGGTGACTGGCATAAACAGCCAAGCTTGAATGTGTAGTTTATTTGCTAAAATTAGTCTCATTACTTAAGGGTGAGAGTTGCATTCCATTAACCATGTTCTGTGTTAGCCTACAATAGGGTCTTGTTCCATCCTTGGGTTTCCTGTGCACTACAACATAATAACAGTAAAAATTATTACAGGCGACCCTCGCCATTTGTGAGGGATACATTCCCATGACCCCTGTGCATGGTGAAATCCGTGAATAGGGCACTGTGTTCATAAACGCAGTCTGCCTACATGAACGCAGTGCCCCTGGTGGCTTGGGGGTGAGGCACAGCTCTGGCGGTGACAGCGGGACCACGGCAGTGACGGCAGGAGCCTGGTGGTGGCGGTGGGAGCCCGGTGGCAGGAGCCCAGCAGCAGCAAGTGCAGAGCTCCCGAAGAGCTCTGGTAAGTGTTTAAAGTGTATTTAAAATGCAGGTTCGGTATTCGAGAATATTTGAAACCGTGAATGCTGAACCCACGAATACCGAAGGTTTCCGGTATTATTTATTAATAGTCCAACAAGTGCTTTAGAGGTGCAGGAAAAGTGAGAGGCAAATTGAAACTTTTGTTTTAATCTGTAGAGCAGTGTAAGGCAGAGGTGGCAGAAGAAGCAGGACATCCAAATAGTTGCACGGTAGATTGTTAAATAATATTTTGGACAATTATTTTAATACATACATACCTTTTTCACAGTAAAGCTTATGTTACGCAAAACACAAACTTTGCTATCCACGTTTCCTTCCTCCATTGTCTGGGATGTCACTGTGAGAGAAAATTCAGGCTCTGTTTCTGGTTGGCATTTATAAGCATTCTTTCTGTTCATAGTCTTTTTATTCTTTTCATTTTCCCTGTGTTCATTCTGATGTTCCCAATATAGTGTGGCATTATCCATTACTACAGCATTTTCTGAATCTTCTAGTTGCTTTACATAAATGGGAGGGATTTCAGCTTTAAGAATTTTCTAAAATATGAGAGATACAGTTTAAGAATGCTGCTTACTAGTTAAAATACAAAGAAGAATGAAAAACATATGATTGCTTTGATAAATTCAGCAAGAGCTGACTTGGTGAAATGGGGAGAGATTCTGGGCATACAAATTAGTATGGCGGCAAAATCTGTTCAGGAAAGGCCTTTTCCTGCAGTAGGAAACAGATATTGCAGCAGAAATACTGCAAAAAGATTGTTCTTAGGAGATTTTCACTTTTAATACATGAGAGTTGGTCTAGTTTAATTAAACCCTTTGAGCATTTGGATTCAGATCCATTTGTGACTGCTTTATCTTAACAGAAAAATTCAGTGACTAGTTTTAATACAAAGGGCACCATTATGCAAAGACCTGGACACAGGCCACAGAACAGAGACATTTGGTTCCCCAGGGACAAGTAGCGGTGGCACACCCTGAGATGGCCGGGCTCCAATACACCCACTCCACCATCCAGCAGGGGCTGAAAAAACCCCAGACCGAACTCCCTTCATTCCCTTTCCTCCCTCCCATTCTGAAAACAGTGATATGCTGGGAGGCAGCACAGACAGAAATTACAGAAGATGCTGTGTTTGGAAAGGTCTTCTTCTGACCCCTCATTCAATGAGTGTTCAGATTTTTGCTGAATCAGCCATTTTAAGTGGTCTGCAGCCATACACTTGTGTTTGGCCATGACTACAGACCATTTTCTATGGCCAGTTCAAGCAAAAACTGTCACTTGTCTATGCCCCTAGGGTGCATCTACACATGAGATTAACATGACTCAATAAACTCTGGCACCGTTTGTGCCAGAGTAAACTGCTCCTAGGAGCAGCATCTACACATGTGGGTGGGACAGCAGCAATTTGCTGTCTGCTTGTGCATTTCAGCACAGTAAAGTACTCCACCGTAAGCTGGTACTATCGGGGACTGCAGTTAATTAACCTACTGTGCCCTAATACTGGTATGTGTAAACTCTGACACTTTACTGCAGAGCTAATTCATCTACTCTGCAGTTAAGTTCATGTATAGATGCATCCTCAGTATCTTAATTCAGAAAACAGTTCTAATTGCTCTATCAATAGGGCCAGGCATTTCTTTAACAGTCATCTTAGAGGAAATAAAGTAGAACCTATTCAGTCAGTTGTCCCATAAGAAGGCATGGAAAACAAGAAAATAGAAGAGTTTTTAGAAGGTAAGTTATATACAATCATGACAGCAAAATATAAAAGTTGTGCATGTTTTTAAAAATTAATCTAAAACTAATTCTCATATCAACTGTCTAGTGAACCAATGTGTATATATACATTAAATGCATAATTTATTTGCATATTTGAACACATAACAGCTAGACAGGCAGACAAGCCTATGTTGGTTCACTTAACAGTTGGATTAACAATTACTTTTAAATTAATTCCCATTTTTAAAAACTGTTTTAAAACTCCCTAATTCTGAATGCATGCCAGCAGGAAAGCTGATTATTTTGGTCTCTCTTATTTTCTCTTGACACTTTACATTTTTGTATACAGTACTTGGAACGTTATCCTGGTCCAGGACTTAAATTTGGGCATGCTTAAGTGCTATGGTGATGATAATAAAAGAGGGGAAGGATCATGGAAGCTTCCAACTTAGTGGATAATTATTTTATAGAACTATTTTTAAGTAATATATTTTAGTTTTTACATTTTGAAATAAGATATGAAGTCACATAGGAATCCTTTAACTATTTAAGAGCTAGATATTGTAGTTATTGCTGTTACAAAAGCTTCATCCATTGTCCAGCCAAATCTTTCTATTGGATCAGGCACCAAAAACTCTTAACAAGGAGTAAAGTTATAGTTTACATTTATTTTCAGTAGAAAATTTCTTAAATATATTCAAACAATATTTTACTTTCAGTCTTTTCAGGGAAACTTTAGCTTCTGCTGCTGCTTTCACTGAGTATGGCAAGATTGCAATTGAAAACTTCATTACATTAAATATAGCAATTACACTAAAAGCCTGCAAAGACAAAAAGGGAGAGAGAGATTTTATGATTTTAGCACTGACTATTATTTTCTATAAACATTTACAATTTATTTTGTGTTATAATTTAAGGAATAGGAAAAATGAAAGATAACAGTAAGTTCTTAGTTTGTGAGATTCCTATTTGAATAAATAAAACCTATGCAACTAATGCCCCATGCAACTACTTCCCATTTTCACGTACCTTTTGAATATTTTAAATTAGCATCGGTGCCATGACTGAGATTTCTTGGATATCACTTTGTGAGAATTGTGGCTAATTGCTCCTTGATCTTATGTCATTGATTTCAGTGAAGTTAGATTCAGGGAGAATTTGGTCCAGTAACTGTAACTATTCTAATCTTTCTGGCCAACCAGCTCTCAATCCATTTTACTATACTAATATTGAAGCCTACATTTTTATTTTGTTCCACAAACTGCCTGTGAGATACCTTATCAGAGGCTTTACTGAAATCCAACTAAATCACATACATTGCTTTGTCTTCCTTAGTATTCACTGTCACTCCTTTAAATAAATTGATCAGGTTTATGCTTCGCAGAACTATGCTGGCAAGTGTCTAACCTCCTGTTAAATCTAAGTAAAACACTATTCCATGCCTAACAAATAACGGAGTATTTTATCCTAAAACAAAAGTTAGACTTAATGGGTGCCTGTAGATGTGTGGGACACCTGCTCCAACACACTGTAATTACAGCGCGTCAGAGCAGACTCAATTAATTGAGTCTGCTGGAGCATGCTAATTAGCACAGTCCAACAGTCTCAGTGTCTCATGTATTCAGTAGCCCCATGCTTCAAAATGGTGGCAGGAACACTTTAACTAAAGCTCATTGAAAGAGCTTTAAAGCCCCCCCACAGCCATTTTGAAGTGCGGGACACTGAATACACAAGACGCTGTGAGTGCTTTAAGAGCCAAGAGCTGCTCTCCCACACCCACCCCGCTTTCTTTCAGTCATCCTGCATTCTTCCTTTATGTAGTTGCATGCAGAGTAAAAAGATGAAAACCTTTTTGCTTGCTTCTTATTTACTTCTCTAACTAATCTGGAGTGGATGTGATCTGCTGTAAGTACACCATTAATATAATATTTTCCCAAGTAACAGTCAATATGGGAAAGAGCTTTAGGCCAAGATTTTCAATAGAATTTATGGGCTGTTAAATGCTTTTTCAGAAAATAGGATTTTCATCAACTTTTAAAATTCAGGTCCCTTTAGAGTATTTCATGCTGGGTACCCTAAAATCAGAAATAATTTTTTAAAAGCTTGGTCATGAAATTAATATGGATGAAACTGTAAAGAAATTAAATAGGTTCTGACAAAATTATTCTAAAACAGATTACCATGGCTTTACAGTCACAGAAAGTATCTGGGTGTTATGCAAGTCCTATGGGCAAAAGAAGGGAATCAGTTACACTATTGCAGGCCCTGCAAGAACTGACTGAAGCAGGTTTTCAACCAGATGTGCTATCTTTTCAGTGTTACGTGGAATCTTTTCCTCTGGTTTTCTTTTGTTTAAGTTTTTGTTGTAGCCTTACTTTCATATCATAGTTAGTATTTTTGCCCTTAAACTCTCTGCATGTCCAGAAAGTTTTGGATGAAAATATCTTCTTTGTTTGCATGTTTACCCTGCCTGGCATTATTTTCCTTTAGCTGCTGCTTTCTAAATGGATACACTCATGCTGTTCAGGAAACAGAATTTTGCTTTGATCTAATTTTGGTCCTGTTTGGAAGTAGTGGATGGTAAATGATCCCAAAGATCTAGTCTTTTCTATTAAAGAAAGTCTCTAAAAGACCATGTATCTTCATTTAGCAGGTGCACCAATTAGTAATCACATTAATTTATCAACTACACCTTTGCCATGCAGTTTTTAATGGCAGCCACACTTGTTTATTAGCTATGTACATGCTGCACCAAAAAGTAATTAAGCTATGTTCTTTTCAGAGCTACCCTTCATTAAAAATCCCAGGGAGAAAAAAAATTAATAGGAATGAAACCTACTGCAAAAAAGATATAGTGCTACAGGGAAACAAGGGGAAACCACAACTGACATTTAGAAAAATAGATAAAAGGAGAAAGTCATACAACTGATGCAGTTAGTTCTTGCTTTAAAAGGGTGTGTAAAATAAATGCCATGACAACAGCCACAGTAGATACAATAGGTGTCAGAGCAAGGTTTACACTCTGTACATATCCTCCTTTTTCCAGTATTTTCCTTTCCATTTTTCTGATACCTGTGAAAGATACAATATTGTAATATAAACAATGTGATAATAAACAAACGTCACAGTTTCCAGGAGAAGGCCATTCTGTACAGTAAAGGCCTTGCATTGATCCTGTGTTTGGGAGCCACATGTATCAGTTAGAATAGCCTGCATAAATCAAAGGTATATCCTTAAATTATCTAGTTTCTGGTTACAGTTTCAATATGATTTTAAAATTAAACACTGTTTTTGCATCTAATTTCCTTTAAATTTAACATTTAACAAAAATGAGAGTAAGCAAAATCCAGATGTTTGTGGTATGTGTGCTTGCATGTGTATGCATATATTGGTTGTTAAAAAAATAAGTGATGGATAATTAAATAACTAGACTCCTAAAAAATTGCACTTATTATTAGTTAAACATATACTGATTTTGGACAGCTCTTCTCTCCTTTCATTACCATATTTATCTTGTATTTTGATACAAACATTTTATTTACATAGTTATTCTACAGCTCAGAAGGGAACCTGAAGAGGGTAGAATTTCAGCTACCATGGCTTGCGATAAACTGGATGATAGGTTTGCTTGTATGGTTTCAAAACTTCATTTTGATTTGAATAGAGGTTTGTGTGAAAATAATGACCCAAAGCAAAATCAGAGGGGGAAAAAACATGAAGCTCAGTAAGTTGTACTGGAACTGACAAAAGCACATCAGTTACTCGTTTATACCAGTAGCTTTGGTGCTCTCTTTACTGGCCTGGACACCCCATGTAGCACGACACTTTAAACCAGGCTAAATGCTTTTGCACTGCTTTAATTGTGTCAGTGTTTGCATGTGTCAACGGCATATTGCGCATTAATTCCAGCCACTGTAGGAAATTTGTCGGCGTAATGAGCCTTAAATGACTTGGGGCCCAGCAAATTAAAACTCCTTTGAGGAGTTTTAGTTTGCTGCCCCTACAGCCTTGGTGCAAAGCACCAGGCTCTGTCCAGCTCCATGGCTCTGCAGGAAACCCCGCACGCAGCCTGGCAGCAGCCCAGGAAAGCAGGCACTGCCCAAGAAAAGTTGCGAGCCTGATCTTTTATTTTTTTCCCCTGGAGCCTGTCTGCCTGAGCTGCATGGGGGCCTGGTGCTTCCTTCCGTGGCTGCTGTGCCCCCCAGGGCCACCTGAGCTGGGTGCCTGTGGGTGGGTGCCACCTGGGGGCTTCCTCCCCTTCCCACTGGAGAGGCAGGTAAGTCAGCAGGGTGTGTGAATGACACAGGGGTTTAATCAGCCCTAAATTGAAGCGGTGTTTTTTAAAACCCACCGCTTCAGTTTAGGGCCCCTGTTTTGTCTACACATGCCCAACAACTTTCCCTCCATATAGGTCTCCTGTTGTTTACCTTTTGCAGTCTCCTTTGGCCTTTCCTAATGCTTTTAGCTCTTGCTCTCTCTCTGCTTCCTGTATGTTGGGGGAACAGCTGGGTCATCTATTCCCATGAGCTTGAAACCTATGGAGGGTTGCTTCTTTGACATTCATAGTAACACCTTCTTGGGGATAGGAGCGGCTTGGTACTTTTGTTCCCTTTTCACTAAAACTATTTGCCCCAGTGTTCCATTTGTATTCCACTTTATCTCATTAATGCAGGATTTTCAGGCCCTCAGATCCATAGCAGGAAGCCTGGAAATCATAATTCAGGGAGCTCTGGGATGTTAAGATCTTTACTGCAGCTCTAGAATCACAGACTCAGGGAGCTTTTGAGAGCCAGCACTTCCAGGGCTGCCAGGATTCTCTGGCTTTGTGGTAGGAAGCTGGAAACTGTGAGAATCCTGATTCTAGTAGGGTTTTTTTTCAGAACTTCCAAGCTTGTAGCATTATGGCTCTGTGGCAGAAAATTTAGAAGTGATCTAGGGCCTGTCCACATGGCACAATTGCCCTGGAGCCACAGTCCCTAGAAACTTGGTCACCCAAGCTGACTACAAGAAAGGCCAGCATAATATTCATTGAAACAAAAAGACAAATTAGCATTTTCCAGTGAAAACCTGTTTTGTTAGAAAATGTATGACCAGTTCTAATCTTTATCTCCATTCATTGGCTGGAACTCTCCTTTAAGAGGAGCACCTTGGTCTATTGTTGTCCCCATAAGGTCTTTCTGGACGACATGCGTGGTGGCACTAGCAATGAGGGACTGAGTAAATACACAAGGTGCTAGGATGTCCTAAAGCCATAACCACAACCTCACTACTATTGTTACCCATGCTAGCTAGGTTATGGTCCCATGGGTAAGCCAGGACATGCACACTCATATTTGGCTTTTATAACAGTTAAATGTAGCAAATGATTAGATAACCTATATTTAAGGAGTTAAATTTCCCAGTGTCTAAATGACTTGGAATCCGAAGTCTAACTAATTCTCAATGGTGCTTCTGCTGTAGGGACAGATTTTTAAAGATTTCTGGGAACCTAAAGATGCAGATCGGGAGCTATTGGATTTTTCAAAAGCATTAGGTATTTAAGAACTTTTGCAAATTGCACTTTGAGTAATATTTTGCTTTTTACTATACTCTGTTTAGTAGAGAAAGAGAGCAGATGGTTTCTGAAGAGCCTTCCAAAAGATTGATAAATGGTTTTAAAGATTATAACAGAGCAATTTAAGTGTCTGTATCTCACTGATACTTAAAATCATGCTTACAATTTTGTATACTACTTTAAAATACCAAATTTCAATTACCTTTAATTCTCATTGCAAAAGATGTTTCCCAAGCATACATTTTAATCATTTTAATGCAAGTTAAAATTTCATTTATTGTTCTCAAACGCTTATCAGTTACTGAAAGAGCAGCTCGTCTGAACATGGCTGTGAGCATAGCTGTGAGCATCTGAAATCAAGATGTAAAAAGGTTATTAAAACATCTCATCAAAATGTGAATGTAAGCAAAGCTGCCTAAGTGTGTGAGCATAGCAAAATACCTGTGCTTGGCAGTATCTCTAGGGGCTGTTTGCCATATATTTTCCCCTCATTAGTTAGTATTTATACCTTTCAGAATCTTCCCTCCATGTGCTTCCAAACTCTTTTTTAAATATTTATGCTTTCATTTTCTATTAACACTTACTACAATATTCCACTGTACATTAAGGGCCTCATTCAAGCTTCCCTTTAGATACCCAGTGATATATATTGTATAGCTTTCTCACTTTTTTTCTAGTATTCATTCTCCCTGTAAGATCTGGGTCACTTACCCTCCATTCAGGATCCTTTTTAGAGATCACTGAAACATCTTGTGAAAAACCAAAACCAAAGATCTATATATTCTCATCTTACAACTTTGCAAATCCAAGATTTAGCATAAGCGTTGATTGATTTTAAATAATTAGGAAATTAATTACTTTACCTGCAGCGGTATAAATATAATATAAACAAATGTTCCAATCAGTGCAGTTGGACCAAGAATAAGACAAGAGTATACAGTGCAAACAGTTATTAGTATAGGCACTGTAATTGGCAGAGGACAAAAAACAGCAGCTTCAAATATACGATGGCCATCAGTAGATAATATATTGATAACCTACAAAAGTATAAAGGGATATATGAGTAACTGTAATGATTTATATAATACTCCCTTTATAAAAATATGTATTTATAACACGTGTTTTAAGGTGTCAAAGTGTTTTTTAAAACCAATGGGCATGTCCCCACATGTGTGGGGACACACCCAGTGACAGGCTTCTATGACCCCAAGATAGATCTTTCAGGATCCACTGCCCCTATGTTATTTATTCAGATAACAGGGGTGCATACATGCATTGTATTTAGATAGATTGATTTAAATGCCCATTCATGCAGGCATTCACAGGGTTTTAATTGGCCAAAAAATGGCATGCCTGATTTAAGTTACTTCACCTTACCTGATCCTAGGAAGGGGTTAACCCAATCTAGTGAATGTCTGCACTCCTCCCGTGGACCCACAGAGCACCCCCCCTCCCCGCCCCTTAGGCCTTCTGGTCCCTCCAGAGACCTGCCAAACCCTCCTGAAGACCAGCCAGCTTGCCCAATCTGCCAGCCCTGAGTTAAATTACTTTAGGCTCCCTGCACTGCTCCTGGCAGCAGTGAATAGCTACACTTTCCACTCCCTGTCTAGGTTTACAGTAAGTCACCAAAACCTAGACTGGGTTTGCACCCCAAGTATATTCAGTGAATATACTAAACTAAAACACTAAAACAGCTTGCACATTTATAACTAGCAGAAATTATAGAATCCCATTATGAAAACTTACCTCACCAAAAGAGATATGTGCCAAAGATTTAAATGCCAATAGATATTCAAATGCAACTGTAGACAGAGCAACTTTAAATCGTATGGCTGTACGGTAGTTGATGGCCCATGCCAATGCCCAAAGTATTACTTTGAAAAATTCAGCAAGAAAAAGTGCTATGCAAAGTCCAATTCCTGTAACAATATCTTTGGACTTGCTTTCGCTGTGCTGTAGGATCTTATGAATGATCACAGTCTGCAAAGTAATATCAGAGAGATTTTTTTAAAATATCATTATGAAAATGTTTATAAATGTACTAACCTTTCAAAAAAATCATTTAAATTTAATTTAAAGACTCTCTAATAGTAAAATTAAATAAAATTGCAGTCTCAGTGAGCAAATATATGTCAGCTTTCAGTTTTGGTTTGTGGTCACAAATTATAAAATTAGATGCTTAAATTATTGAATCAGTACCATTTATATCCTGGTAACGGTCACTGAAATGAGGTCAGGTTGCTAGTGACCAAGACTTGCCACCTTTCTTTGATGGAGGTAATTATAAACAAAGACATTAGTTAATAAACAACAACAAGGGTGATTTCAGCTACCTCCATTTTAAGTGGTTAAATGTTTTATCAGGGTAATGTTTAGGAAGGGATTCCTTAATAATTTGAAACCAATTGCTTTCTAGAATAACTAATTCTAAAGGAAGAGATTATTCTTATTTTAAGGCCAGGTGCACATTGGCAAATTAGGTACCAGACGGGAGATAGAAGTTAGTCTTGAAAGTCACCAAAAGCAGTCCTAAGTAACCCCGCCACCTGTTAAGTGTCTGTTATTCATTTGGCACCTATATTTTGGGCTGCAAAAATCTCTAGGCACTTCAGTTTAGGTTTCAACACATGCACACAAGTGCTGAACAGCTAGGTGGCTAACTCTCACCTAAGCACACTTAATGCATACTGGCAACATTGAACTTAATGGAAAGTGCAGCAACTGATGTTACTTTCACTCAGAAGTATGACTTCTGCTTGCCAGCTAATGGTTAGAGAGAGCACTTGGCCAGGAAGCAGAACAGTTTTTAAGCCCTAGAAAAACCAAGGGGCTTCAAAACCACATCTCAGCCCACTTCCCAGCATATGATCCCTGTAAGGGCAACGAATTTAAAGCTGATAAAATGAAACATTTATTTATGCAAAACTGCATTAACCACTGGAATTGACTGCCACAGATACCAGGGCAACTAGGAATTTATTGGGATTGAAAAAGGTTCAGACATTTATCTGGATAATGAGAATATCTACAGTTACATGACATGGGAGGAAAACACAGGCACTACCATAGTACAAACAATACATAATAATTACAAAGTCTCTTGCTTCAGGGTAAAAGCTGAATACCAGCTGTAGCAGTGAGGAAGAAATGGATTACAAAGTTGTACCTGTTTCATGAATAAAATCTTTAAGACTTCAGTGCCTAAGGCCACATCTATATTTTCTCCCTGCTGATCCCTGAACTACTGCAGAGAAACAAGTCCCTCCATCCATTCCCTTTTCTCCCACCCAGACCTAGCAATTAGGCCCCACACATGCCTTAGAGGGGTATTAAGTGTGCACCCCAAGTGCCAGTCTCAGGTTTTCCTGAAACAGATGATACAGTGATAGGGAGAAGATGCATTCAGAACAAGGGGATGTTACTATTAGGATCTCTGTGAAGAATTCACTGTTTAACAATAAAATACTTTAGATTTCCATTGATCCATCACCTATAGACTATGAAGTGTCCTTTTGCTTAAACAGGTAGCTGGACTGTTGGGAGCTGAAGCTGATATCCCATGTCCCCAGGAAACCTCTTTAAAAAACTGTAATAAAACATCAGGTTTGACCCATACCTTCCATATCATCAGGTATTACTAACACTCTCCATACATCAAAGTAAGACACGGCTTTATAAAAAATGTAAAGGTTAAAGATTTAAGCTAATTTTGTCCTGAACTGTCTTTGGCCTCCTCATATTACAGGCAATGAATAGAGAGAATGGCCTTTAAGGCCTGTTCATACTTTAAAATTCCATCAGTGACTGAGTAACAAAAAATGGTCTCAATTTCCCACATTCAGTTCACAAGAGATGGTTAGTAGGAGCGTACTATGATTATTCTAGCAGTGGAGCAAATCCTGCCCTGGATGCTTTCTTGACAGTGGAACTGGTCATGTGCAAAGTAGGGGCAGAGTTCTAGGGGTTGTGCAAAGGTTACATACTCCTGGTTTAGCACGCAGCTCTGTGACCACTTCTTGTGCCAGCTTTAAGTAGGAAATAGGAGCAGAAGAGGGAGATGGAGAGACAGGGCAAAAGAATCTGTTGCAACCACAGATCCTCTTGTCTAACCCACACTGCAAAAAAGAGTGTCTTGGAACTAGATATAATGCAACTGCCTTCTGCCCTTAGTTACAGAAAGCTAAATCATTATAAACCAGCTGCAAACTAATTTAGGTGTGTACAAATAAGCATCTGTACCAGTTTAACTAAAAATTATTTTAGTTAAGCTAATACAGTTTGTGAAGACAAGGTCTGAATGCTCTCCTCCAACTTCAAGGGAAAGCACAACTCATGTATGTCTGTCTTCATGGAATCTGACTAGAAGATGTCTCTGCATTAGTATTCTAGTCTCTGCACATCCAAAAGGAAGGTGACAGGATGGATGGGTGGGTAACACAAAGCTCTGAAGAGAGAGAGAATTTTTCCTTTTTTAGTATTAAATCATGTTACTTGTTCAGATTCTAAAAACACAAAAACGCTGCCTCCTAACTCCTGCAATATACAGTTATAATTATTTGTTCCTCTAACATTCATATTAGTGCCTTTGCCAGAACATGTGTAGAAAATAAAAACAAAACAAAGGTGAACAGATATTCTTGGAAAACTTTGGCAACATTTACCCAACTATTGTACCAATTTTTTTTGTTTAGTTTTCTTCTATGCAATATGTCACATTATTGTTTAATTAAGCACAATTAAACCTTTACCATAGTAGAACTCAATATGTTACTGTACACAAAAAAGTTATCAGGAACATAAGACAAACTATATGCTTTAGCTTAATATTAATTTCTAGGCTAGTGTTATTTTGGTCATTAGACTTAAGGCACCCCTCAGATAATGCCAGCTCTTAGCTGTCACTTTTCTTTGATAAAGGAAAAATAATAGAAAAAATATTTGTTGCAAAAAATTCAGGAAGACCACAACAGATCAGAATGTTTTGGACACTATGGGCACGACCCCACGAGCGGGAATGGGCATTTCCCCGGGGACAACTAGCAGCAACACATATTTGTGCCCCACATGTGCACTTTGATGCAAAGCAGATTGCCTCAGGTGGAGTAGGGGAGGCTGGGGCCTGTACTGGGGCTGGCCCCAACAGCCTTACCTAGAGCTTTAGGGGCCTCTTGGGGCTACAGCGGTGGCGATCTGGTTGTATGGAGCCTGGTCGGCAGCCGGAGCATGGGGCTCTGACTGGCCAGGTTCTGGTTTCAAGTGGTACATGCTGCAGCCACATGCGCTGCCCTGCTTTTTTCTGGCACAGTTTTTTTTCACACTAGGATCTCCCAATGTCAACCCCACCGAGCATGCTGCCAATTAGCACCAGGGCAAACACATGCATATGTAGTATGCGCAGTTTGTGGCACCGCAGACAAGTTTGCAGTGATGCATGCTTGTAAGGATGCGTCCTATTTGAAATAGATGGTTTAATTTTGTGAATCATGTAGGTATTTGCATACCTAGCAGCAGTAATATTATGTAGCAACTAGGGGCACCCTTGAAAGGGTCTTACAGCACCCAGATTGAGAATCATTGTTATAAGCTATTTAAATAACCTCTATCAAAGCAGAATATGTAAAAAATATACTAGTAATAACAAGAAATAATAATACATTTTAAATATGTAACAGACAATATTACAATATTTAAAAATATGTATTTTAGGGTTTTTGCAGTAGTATGAATAGTACTCACTGGTCCTAAAGAAGCGAAAACAATACAAATAAAATTTACTATTGCATCTACTAGAAGTCGTGTTTTCTGAAATTTGAGAACTACTCTGTCCAAAGAAGCCTTCTCAGGCCCAACTCTTGCAAGCTCTGCTTCCCAAAGGCATCGAAATCTATAAAAACAAAGGGTTAAATAAAACAACATAGCATTTCTTCCAGTCACAGCAATTTATCAGAAACATGTATAGGAAACTTGCACTTTAAACAGAATTAAGATTCAGTTCCTCGCCTTGTCGTTCAATACCATAATAGAAGTCTAAAAAGTATTGCATACAGAATATTTTTAGACCTACAGTTCATGAAGGGAATTAATTATTCAAAATAACTGCTAGGAAAATCAGCACATTGAAACATTGATCTAAAGTTTGCATGAACTGTTAGCAAAATATACATTAACCACAATGGAATGAACTTAGGAAGATATGAGAATTTCAGGAAGTAATTGATTGGTTTGTGATAGTAACTAGGGCCAAACTAAAACCATGAAATTAATATTACATAAGAACTTTAATATGCTATTTCTAATCCATTAATGTGCCAAATTTACCAGTCCTTTCAAAGAATTATGCAGTGCATTTTGGCTTGATCCTACAAGATGTTGTGCATTCTGTTCCTGATCCAGCAACACACCTAGACATGTATTTAAAATCATAAATACACCTGCATAAATGTGTAGGATAAAGGCAAAAATGGTTAGTAGCTCTGTGTGCAACCTGTAAGGATGAAATTACTCGTTACACTTAGACCATACTAAATCTGTGGAGTGTAAAGTGGTATTAAAGTTAGAGCAGGCTGTGAACAGTCACATGTTAAGTCACTGTTTCTTGCCTGCTCAGTTCTGACTTGCCACTAGAGGCCTGGTAAGCAGGGACATGGCTAGGAAACAGGTAATCTGGGCAATATCCCTGCTCTGGGTTGAAGGGGGAGGGGGGAAGGGGGCTGGGAGTAGTGCATCCTGAGATGCTTGAGGACTGCAGATTACTCCTTTTATCTCTATGGAGCAGACAGAAATTATCCTAATATAAGGTAGGTAGCACAGTATAGAGTTAAGCCTCTCCTGAAGTGGCATAACTTTAAGATGCTCAGATGGCACTTAGCACAAGTTAGCAAGCTTTAATGTGTGGATGTTCACATTTTAAATGCCCTCAGTATGGTCTAAATATAAAGCGGAACTTTACCCTAAGGCTCAATTTTGGAACAGTAATTGATTTTGTCTCCCATGTTTTATTGTTGCAGGGATCCCCAGCATCTTATATGTGATTAGGGAGAATGAAACAAAACTTTGAGAAAGTGTTTTATTTTCTTTTTTACTCTTCCATTTTCTTTTCCTTTTGTGTATTTTAAGATATGGCTGGCAATTATTTTTCTTCTGTCCTTAACTCATCCTACATCTTTTCTTTTAAATTTGTCTTTCTTACAGATCCTGTACTATGTGAAACAGTAGAAACCATGCAAGACATTTTCCAGCTAAGTTCTTCCATTATATATTATATCAGGTACCCTCAGAACAGCTCAGAATCAAGGTTTTCAGTGAGGATGGCCACATAAGCAGAAATCTTACATAAATAATTTTACTGAAACTGAAATGCTACCTTTTTGCATTTGGATCTGAACTATCATGATATGATAATGGAGGTAAGGTGTCCACATTTATATTATTCCTGTATCCTTTGATCATTAAAGATGAAAGCCAAGAAAATGTAGCAAATGAGAACAGCCCTGCATTATCTACTGGATTAATGGCAGATCTAGGTATAAAAATAAAGATATTACTACAGTATTCTGCAAGTCCATTTTCCAGTTATCTCACTGACCTTACAAATGTTAACTGTAGAAAATTATGTTTTCTGAGCCATATAAAGACCTTTTTGCACTTAGAGGCAGAAACCATTATGCATCCATTAACAGAGTGATAGACAGCATGAATACACTACTTATTAATTAATGATAAGGTAAGGTCACACTGTGAGGGTGAGAATTCAGTCTCTAGCTTCCAGAGCATGCTGTGTGCTCAGCTTCTCAACAGCTTCACTATTTGAAATCAACTGGCATTTGCTGCATTTAACCAGTATCCTTCTCATATAATGCTACAGGGCATGCACAGAGCATCAGGGTAGACACTCATGCTACCTTTCAACAGTGTTAAAATGTCATATTCTGTCAGATTAGCTCAACTCAGATTATGCCTAAAATTGTCTTGACAATGTAGTGACCCAGTTAACAAACAAAATAAAGCAAGCAAGACAGCTGGCATTTCATAATAGCATAGTTAATGCAATTTCAACTATCCTGCAGATTTTATTTCTATTTTTTAAAGTACAAACAAATGCAACTTGCTTTGCTCCAATGCGCACGGGAATCATTGTTTTTAAACTAAGTTCATATTTTTCATGAAAGGTCCTTTCATTATCTTGTATGTTTAGACTGGGTAGCAGATAAGGTGCTGAAGTAAGCATTTTACAGATCCAGAGGTACAAGGTTTCCTGTCACTTGTTTCCTGTCACTTTGTAGTAAAAGAGAAAAAAAAAATCATGTTAGCTTTAATTGCAATTTTAATTAAACTTTAACATGTAACAAACCACATAACCATTTGCAAACCATGACAAAAATCTGGTAATTCAAAATTAGAATGGAAAAGATCTTCATAGTCACTTGTTTCATGCCATCCCCATTACTATGGTTGCTCAGCTACCAGAACTATAAAAATATACAAGCAGATGCATAGCCGGGCAGGTCTGTACACAGGGCAGCGCCAGCTCCTGCTGTGCTGATTGCAGTGGCACCATCAGCTGCTCCTGCAGTAATGGCTGCTTTTGCATCCGCCCACA